ACATTTCTTTCAGGCCCTGTAATCATATTCTTCCTGATGTTATCGGTCTGGATGGAGCGATCCCAGCGTTTGGCACCTTTGGAAAGTGCATGAAAACCATACCATGGATTAACCCAAACCTTGTCAGTAAAATTAGGTAAAATGGCGTCACAAGTCCAACGTGCTGGCCCTGTTCAAATTATTGATCACACAAGATAACACACTCTTTCCCAGAAACTTTAATTAAGGTCTCATTATAGTTACGGCATAAACCACACGTCGACTCTGTGGGTGTTAAATAAACACAAATGCGCCTGAGCAAGCGTCTGCAATAGGGATTGCCTAGCTGCCCTAGTAAGACGGGTATACTCGAATACGGATATGGACACGTGGCCGAGTGGTTAAAATGTTCGCTTTCTGACTATGAGACGACGGCTGTTGATTTGTCAGAAGGAGAATTCCTGATGTTATCTGTCTGGAGGGACAGGGTCCCAGCATGTGACACTTTTGGAAAGTGCCTGAAAACGATACCACGATTTGACCCAAGCGTTGTGAGTGCAATTGGGTAGACAGAACCCTTGGGGCCGTCGATAGCTGTGCTAGCACGAAGTCACAAGTCATCGGGACCGAGGGTTTGAGTGTGTTAGCCTTGTTCAGATTGTTGATCACGCTAGATAACGCGGTCTCTTCCAGAAACTGTAACTAAGGTCTGCTCAGCATATTTTCAGTATAAACCACAGATTGGCTCTGTGAGTGTTGAGCGAGCATCTACAACAGGGATTAGCTCGCCGCCATAATAGACGGGTATCTTCGAATACGAATGGCCAGCGATTAATCATATTCTAATAATCTGATAACAAATAAGATTTTTTACCACCTCCAGTCTTTTTTTTTTATTTCCTACCAATAATCATTTGTTTTCCTTTTCACACTAATTTCTTTTCTTACTTCATCCCAAATATTATTCGTTTTTCGTTTCCGTCTTGAGTTTTTTTCGTATTTCATTCCAAAAACCAGGTAATGACAAAAGTGCCCAGGTGGAGGCTTTAAGAAAGCTTTATTCAACTAAGGATACAAAGTTCATGTATAGTGCCATTTTATAGTTCCAGTAAACAGAAATAGCTCTTTGAAAGAGGAGAATAACGAAACAAAGGGGAGACAACTCTTGATTATTCATAACCAACTATTTTTCCTTCTAATCATATTTCTTATTTCCTTCCAAACGGTAATATCCCAATCTGTTGGAATGTAGAAAAAAAGAATGAAAATAAAAGTCAAGTATATTCTAGCACATAAATAAAACTCCTTAATTCATTCTGTCTGAGAACAGCAAGAATTGCAAGAATTGAGACAATGAACGTACACGCCAGCTTTTCACCATCTTTGATTCAGAAGTGCGGCGGTCGTCTTCCAAACAAGGGAAGTAACTCTATTGTATTTTAAGTTATCGTCCTTTAGAGGAGAAGGCAATTAGCCTCCCCAACACAAACATTACAAAATATTCCTTCCCGTCGTCATTTCTAATTTCTTTCCAATATCTATACCTTTTTTCTCCTTATAATCCGTATCCATTTTTTATTTCCTTCCAAACATTATTTGTTTTTCCTTCCCATTCTCAATTATTTCCTTACTTCATTAGAATAATTGTTTAATCCTTATTTCTATTTTTATTTCCTTCCAAATGTTATTTCTTTTCTCATTATCTTTGCTTATTTCAATCCTTTCCTTATTTCCTTCCAGTACTTATTCGTATTTTTTATTACCTTCCAATTATTACTTTTCTTATGTCATTCCAACCATTATTACCTTTCTTATTATCTTTGCTTATTTCATTCCTTTCCATATTTCCTTCCAGTTCTTATTCCAATTTTTATAACCTGCCAATAATAACTTTTCTTATGCTCTTCCAACCGTTATTAATGTTCTTATTATCTTTGCTTCTTTCAATCCTTTCCATATTTCCTTCCAGTACTTATTCCCTTTCTTATTACCTGCCACTTATTTCTTTTCTTATGTCCTTCCAAACATATTTAAATTTCAGATGACAATGATATTTGTTTAGTTTCCAACTAACTTCGTCTTATTTTTTTTTTTATTCTCGTTTTCTGTTTTCCTGCTTCGTAAGAGATTCTTTCTTCCTCATTAATGTATTCATTCTCTTCTCTTTCTGCTATGCCGTATATATTGATATATAAGGAATTTAAATTCAACGGATTTCATTCGGGATGGCCCCTTTATTCAATTGGACAATTCAAATTCTCTGTTACAAAACAATCACATTGAATATTGTTGCTACATTAGGTCTGATGCATTTTCCGTGTATTCGGAGACTCTTGGTAAAATACAAAGAAGAATTTGCAATGTTATTGGTCCTGATCAGATATGACAGCTTCAGTCACGTTCGCACGTACAAAATGCAACTTCAATGTGCCTTTTCTATAAATACTTTCTTGGAAATTGTTCTGATGAAAGAGACAAATTATACTTATGGGAAATCAGTTAAGGCTTCATAAGGACTTTGAGATATTATGGTGGTTGTAGTGAGAATAGTAAGTAAGAACGTGTCGTTTTGGTTTAAGGAAGACTGTGTTATGATTGGGTCAGTAACCGTGGCTAGCTAAGTTTAAGATTGAATACCAGCCTCCCCTATCACTTGTGCTACATTTTTGTATTTTTCAAAATAAATATTACTTTCCGCTGTGGTTCCTAGAGTTTATAAATTTAAGCAAAATGCTACATTAGCGGCAAGTTCTCATCATTTTACTGTTGAATTGGCCGGATGTAACCGTAAGTTCTATGCTGAGAGTTCCTTCTCACCTGTGGAACTCTGCTCCGGCCTCTTACTTTCCGGTTAACTTTCATTTGCAAGAATTTAAATGCAATGTCAATCATTATCTGCTGTTTTAATTTTACTCTAATGTCGTGTTTTTTTTTTTTCATATTATTTCACATTAAGTATTAGGATTAATTTATATATATATATATATATATATATATATATATATATATATATATAGAGAGAGAGAGAGAGAGAGAGAGAGGATTTATTTTAGTTATTGATATATTAACGAACTGAGAAATTAGTATATATATATATATATATATATATATATATATATATATATATATATATATAATAAGAACCCACCACTTTTTTTTTTTCTTTTCCTCTCCCCCTCTTCTTCTGATCTTTAAGATTAGATCGTCTGTTGTGTGTGTATGTCACCACAAAATGTATCCTTTCCGGTTACATCTTTAATGTATTAGACATCCGACAACATTCATATTTCTCTCACTTAAACTGTCTTTGATTCCCCTCTCTAAAACTTCTCTCTGTTAAGTTTTAATCCCCCATCTTCTCTCGTCTGTTACCCCTCTCTATAGCTCTAACATTCGTCCCACACTCTCATACTTACACTCACTCTAAATTTTATTTTTTTATTTCCGGAGTTGTTTTTTCTGTTTTCTTTTTGAATTTGTAGGTCTGATGAATTGGATCGTATTTACGATTCCAATGGAATAAATTATGACCATGGAATATTAGTGTTTAAGCCTTTTATTATATATATATATATATATATATATATATATATATATATATATATATATATATATATATATAAAAATGGACAAAGTCCGACAATTTATTTATTTAAGACATTTTTATGCTCTACTTTTGTATCGAGCACTATTTTTGTTAAAAATAATAACAAAAATACTAAAGAACTTTGGATTATTTACCTAACGAGTTCTTACCTATTTTCTATATTTTTATACACACACACACACACACACACACACACACACACACACACACACACACAAGAGCCACAAGACCAGATGAGGCAGCAATATCGAAATCATGAACGAATGGCAGGCGTATTCTGAAGTGAAAAACTGTCTATCAAGAAATAATGAAGCAACTTTTGAGAAGCAGACATAGTAATTGATTTCATATACTCTTTTCACTTCATGCCAGCGGAAACTGTTAGCCCAAGAAGAGGCAAAGTGTAACGCTTTTGGAGGTTAGCATCAGCCATACTGAGGGAAAGCGGAAGCGAATGTCTGAGATGATTGACAGAGAGCAGTTTTGTTTTGGAGGTCTCAAAATTAAGAAAGCCGTCCTTGCCTAAGTTAACAGCAAATTGTAGGACATTTTAGAGATCAGCTGCCAATTTGACCATATCGAAACGAGCAGACTTACTGTTCAGACAGGAGTAAGTAGTTATGTCACCAGCATATATACCGAGTTGAGAACTGATGCCATTACGAAGGCCATTGATAAAAATGTGGGTCAACGTAGGTCTAAGGGTAGATCCCTAGAGTCACCTGCATCTAGGCAAAAAGGTCTAGAAGAGTGGCCGTTCAAGACAACTTTCGTTTCGTGATCTGATAAGAAAGATTCAATCAGTTCAAACATTCATCTAGAATGGTTTCCTATGATGATTAAAAGAAAGCAGTTTTATTTTGGATGTATTAAAAGTTACAAACCATTCATTGCTCCAATAAATAACTTATTGGAGATCATTTTTTAAACCAAATGCCAATTTTACTTTATTGGTACTATCAGACTTACTATTAAGACAGGAGTAAACAGTTGTGTCTTCAGCATAAATATCTAGTTAAGAACTGATGACATCAGGAAGGTCATTGATGAAAATGAGCAGCAACGTAGGTCTAAGGATAGATCTCTGGGGTCACCTGCATTAATGTAAAAAGATTTAGAAGAGTGGCCGTTCAAGATAACTTTCATTTCGTGATTTGATAAGAAAGATTCAATCAGTTCAAAAATTCGTCTAGAGTAGTTCTCTATGATGATTAAAAGATAGCAGTTTCGTTTTGGATGCATTAAAATTTACAAACCATTCATTGCTCCAATAAATAACTGATTGGTGATCATTTTTTAAACCAAATGCCAGTTTTACTTTATTGGAGCTATCAGATTTATGATTAAGACAGGAGTAAACATTTGTGTCTTCCGCATAAATATCTAGTTTAGAACTAATGACATCAGGAAGGTC